TGAAGACCTGTTTCGGTAGAGGTAATTTGTAAGCCAAGAAATTAACTAACAGGGCCTAAGTTGTGCATGGAGAAGCGAGCATGTAAGGCAGCGAGAAGAGTGTCAATTGCAGAGGTAGAGTTCCCTGTAAGTAGTATGTCATCGACATACACTAGAATGTATAACTGAATTGAGTTGTGATGAAAGAGGAGAAGCGACGGGTCGGCTGAGCTGGTGCGAAAACCATATTGTATCAGATAAGCAGAAAAGGTGGAGAACCACTCACGGGGAGCTTGTTTCAGGCCATAAATTGCCTTCTTGAGGAGGCAAATATGATTGGGAAACTGTTTATCCACGAACCCTGGCGGCTGTTTCATATAAGCAACTTCTTGAAGTGGTCCATGGAGAAAAGCATTGGACACATCGAGCTGAAGAATGGGCCACTGATGAGTAACCGCAACTGTCAACAAAATGCGAATAGTATGAAACTTGGCCACAGGACTAAAGGTTTCAACAAAGTCCAATCCATATTGTTGTTTAAATCCTTGTGCCACAAGGCGGGCCTTGTAACGAGAGATAGTTCCATCAGCATTGAATTTGGTTTTGAACAACCATTTTGAGCCGAGAATGTTGAATTTTGGATTTGGTGGAACCAAAACCCAGGTGCCTTGGCGTTGAAGAGCATCAAACTCTGCACTCATAGCTTCACGCCACACACTGTGTTGGCTTGCTTGAACAAAGCCAGTGGGAGCAATCGGAACTATAGTATTGTGAAGATCAAATATTTGTCTCGGTCGTAGATGTCCTGTTTGTGCTCGAGTGATCATGGAATGCCGAGTGGGAGCAGGTACAGTAGGCTGTTGAGTAATAGGTGGAGTTGTATAGGGAGTATTAAGAGATACAGACTGATTAGATGGAGAAGGAGTCGCGTGAGAAGGAGAGGAATTGGATTGAGAAGTTTGACTTAAGATTGAGTCTGTGGGAATTTGAGTATTGGTCTTGATAGTTGAAATGGGTACAAGTATAGAGAGAATTAGTGTTGGAGAAATAGTGGAAGCTGAATTCGGGCTGGATGCTGGCAGAGATGTGGAATGAAGAGGAAAGAAATTTTCATAGAAATGCACATGCCGGGAGATGTATACTTTATTAGTAGTGGGATCAAGACACTTGTAACCTTTTGTTTGAGAGGCATAGCCAAGGAAAACACAAGGAGTAGACCGAGGGGCTAGCTTGTGAGATAAATAAGTTGGGAACCAGGGATAACATAGACAGCCAAACACACAAATATGAGTATAGGAAGGAGATTTCTGATATAGGCGTTCATATGGTGAAGTGAAGTTAATGGTTGATGAGGGTAACCTGTTAATAAGGTAAACCACAGTGAAGAGAGTGTCCACCCAGTATTTTGAGGGTAAATTGGATTGAAAAAGCAATGCCCGCACAGTCTCAAGGATATGGCGATGTTTTCTTTCGGCAGTCCCATTTTGTTGAGGAGTGTATGGGCAAGTCACCTGGTGATTAATGCCACATTTATTTAAGTGAAGCTTAAAGTTATTATTGATATATTCTCCACCACCATCAGTTCGGAGAGTTTTAATGGGATTCTGAAATTGTTTTTCCACAAGTTGTTGGAATTTAAGAAATGTGGAGAAAACGTCTGATTTATGGTGAAGAGGATAAACCCAAGTGTAGCGACTATAATCATCAATGAATGTGACATAAAAACGATAAGATTTCATTGATAAGGTAGGGGAAGGTCCCCATACATCACTATGAATCAACTCTAAACATTGTGTAGACAAAGAGTTAGATAAAGGAAAAGGAAGTCTAGTACATTTGGCTTGAGCACAAGCTTGACAAGGTAAAGAAGTAGAGCTAAAACTAGAGCTAAAAGGTAAGACAGCAGATAGACGCTGGAGGATAGATCCAGACGGATGCCCGAGGCATTGATGCCATAGGGACTGGTTGGAGGGAATGGCAACAAGCGCGGTAGCTGCAGTTGGAGTAGTGGTTGAACGCAGTTTAATTGGGTAGAGACCAAGATGATTGGGTCCTTGGAGAAGAAGCTTGTTGGTCCGGGAGTCCTTGATGGCAAATCCATGAGCATCAAATTGCACAAAACAGGAGTTGTCATTAGTAAGTTTGTGTATGGATAACAAATTATGAGACACATTTGGTACATGAAGAATTTTAGGCAGATATAGCTTACGGTGAGGCGTAGGGAGTATGCCTTGCCCTGTATTGGCAATCGACAACTGTTGGCCATTTCCAACTTGAACTTGAGATGCTCCTTAATACGGTTGAAGATTTTGCAGATGAGTTGAATTGGCAGTGAGATGTTCTGTTGCTCCGGAATCCAGGTACCAATCAGCCGACGCTGGAACATCTGTAGTAACATAAGCCTGAGGCGCAGATGTGTAAGAAGAGTCATGCCTGTACCAGCAAGTCACGGCTGAATGCCCAGTTTTTCCACAAATCTGACAGTCGACATTGAGGCGAGGACGTCAGCCACCACGAGATGATGCAGATCTTCCAGCTGTCGTTCGAGCAGATCCTCGACTAGACAAGCGACCACGATAGTTAGAGGCTCTGCCACGATATGTTCCTTTTGTTGCAGTTAGAGCATAGTTCGAATCAGTATTCGAAATAGCAGTAGCATCACGTCCGACTTCTGATGCAATGTGCAGTTCTTCACTGCAAAGCAGAGCATAAAAATCATCCAGAGAGATTGGCTGTAGCTGATTTCGAATCACAGCTTTAAAAGACTGATAAGAGGCTGGCAGCCCATTTAGAGTATAGAATATGATGTCCTCTGTATCAATAGATGAGCTGGAGGTAGCTATGAT